CGCCCAACAAATTTTTTTTCACTACCATACACGTTACGTGAAAAAAAAATCATCAAAAACATCTACTACACATTAAAAAGCCAGATTTTCAGCAATTTTATTAACTACCTTTTAAAAGCCCTATGCTGCTGTTTTACAAGGCAAAACCGACCAGCTTACTTGGTCAAAGCAATCTACACTTTTTGTTTTTGTTTCTAGTAATTGCGTGGAGGAAAAAAAAGCTACAGCATTAAAAGTTTTTAAGGCAAATTGGAATTCATTGGAAAAAGATAAGACACTTCACGCTATGAGAAAAAAATTACAAGGAGTCAGAAAACAGACAGCAACTGCAACACTGCACTACAGCAACACTCACACTGCAAGCACGGAGGCATCACATTAAAATGCCTTCTTGTTGGAATCAGTTAGAACATTGAGAAACCAGCGATGGTTTATTTTGGGTTTTTTTTTTTTTTTCTTCGCTGGCCTGTAAAATGGTTAACCTTCAGAGAAGAAATAAAAACAAAAAAAACAAAAAAAAATCATAAGTCCTTAAAAATTTAACAATGGAAGTCCCATAAAAAACAAAAACAAAAGAAAAAATAACACAAAAAAATTGTCTGTCATGCACATATCCTCATACAAATAGCCACCTGTGCATATCCAGAGATAAACCTGTAGTCTGTCTCTTTTTTGTTATATTACTTGATAAAAATTTCCATAATAAAATAAACCTGTTCAGGGGAACAGACACTAGATGAATTGAAGGTTTTTATGCACTTCATAGAACTTATAGCAAAAATAGTTTGAGTTGATTTTGTTATAAATAATGTTTTTTTCCCAAGAACCTGTGCAAAACTGTCAATTCATAAAGCACGATTGTTCAGAAAAATCCGTGATTGTTTAAGCATCTGAACCTCATTTCCCCCAATCAAGGTCATCGCTCCATCTGTGAGAGAGAGAAAGAGAGAGAGAGAGAAAAAGAGAGAAAGAGTGAGGGAGAGAGAGAGAGAGAGAAAGAAAGAGAGAAAGAAAAAAAGAGAGAAAGGAGGGAGAGAAAGAGAGAGAGAAAGAGAAAGAGAAAGAGAGAGAGAGAGAGAAAGAGAGAGAGAGAGAGAAAGAGAGAGAGAGACAGAGAGAGAAAAAAAATATTAGTTTTTTCTGTCTTTTCTTATTCAATTACTATATTTGAATTAAATGAACAAAAAAAGTAAATATTACATAATTAAACAAACTCTTAATTGTATAATTTAATAAAGATACATTTAAATTCCGGATCCTTTGTTAAAAAACTATGTTTATTTTATTTATCCCACCCTGTATCTAAATGGATTTAAAACATGAACATCAAAATAGAAAATACAATTATTACCTTTAAAATACCACAGACAATAACAAGAAAAGCATTACTTTTTTTTTACCAGTCAAGAAAGTTTTATACAAAAAAGTCGTGCAACTAAGAGTCACCGATAAATAAGTTCTCATTCTGTGAAATTAATACTTGTTGCAAGGTGCTTGCTGCTTACAATTGCATCTGAATGACCTGTAAATGTAATAAACAGACTCGGCTACACTGTTTCCAATCCCTACAACCTCTCCCTTATTTTATGACACGTGCAAAAATTAAAGAAACTTGAATTTAACATAAAGAGAATACAGCAATATACAATGTAAGTATAGGCATATTCATAAGTGCAGGGTACCATAGCGAACGTCTATTTTGGCTGATGCAATGACTTTGCTGTTTCACTAGGTGGCACAGTAGCTAAAGTTCTTCCAATTACTATCCTTGCTGAGATTTGACTAAATGAGTAATTTTCACCCTTGCTCTCGGTTTGTGACAAAAGCCGGGTTCGTCTTCCAAGAACTGAGAGGACGGCTTCGCCCATCTCTACACTTTAAGCAGTTAATCACTGATAAACACTCTGACAAGTAACCTGATGAACAGGGTGTGAAATACTAATTTTGCATCACAGGGCAAAATATTCAGTCCCTATCAATGAGAATCAGAGTTATTGCTTGGGTCAAAACATTCCCATGTTATCCCATGTTATCAGTTGCAGCTGTGAATATCATTACATTCTAAAACAAAAGTCTTTGTTTAGGTTTTATGTATAAAAAGATTTATGGCTCTCCATAACAAACAGTATACAAAGCATTGCTACTGTTCATTAAATCTCAAAACTCCCAATTTCTGGACATATGGACAGTGTATCCTCGGTATCCAGTTAGCAATTATTACTCTGACTGTTCTACATCTCTGTAAGGTTTAATCTCATTCATTTTGTATATGTTCCTGCACTTTACACTGCCTTTTACACATTTCTGATTATAAGAATGACCTGTGTTTTAGCTTAGGAGAAAACCATATTAAATGTAACAATAAAACGTCTTTATTTGCTATCTTTTGGTTTGTTAAATGTACAATTGAAAGCTTTTCAGTCATAACAGAAATTCAGAGCTGTCCTGGGTCTTGTGCACACAGTGTATTGAGCTGATTTTGCACTGTTGTACTTGCAATGGTGGCATGCTTATAATACATAAGAATGATTTGTAAATTGTTTCAATCTGCTCTATGTCATTACAACCTGGATTAGCATTTGGCAGAATAGCTTTAAGGCCTCATTCACACGGGGAAATGGCCGGCCTGTACAGATCCTTATTGCGTGCACGGCCGTATCGGGCAGCTCCCGGGAAGGACAGGTGCTGTGTGTGATTTGAATGCAGCAGCCTGTTCTTCTCTATGGTAGTACGCAGCTGTACGCCTCCCTACGCTCACCCGCCCTGCACATCCGTATGGGTGCGGGTGTCCATGCTTGGACGCCGACAGGATCCATCACACGCAGACGGGAGCTGCCCGATACGGCTGTGCACGCAGCACGGATCTGTACGGGCCTCCTGCTACCCGTGTGAATGAGGGCTAATAGGAAATATTCTTTCAAAAAGCAATGGGATGCACAAATAAAAAAAATGCCTATAAAAGATTATTATGTATTGCTTGACACATAAAAAGCTAATTTAATCATTGTCATACTTTATGCTCTAAAAAAACAAACCACAATGGGAGCAGCTCAAAAAAAAAAAAAAAAAAGAAGAACACAACAATCAATTGAGAATTGTGGTTACTGCAGCCGATCAGCTTCCAGTTGTTATTTTCCCGTGGGGTTAGCAAATGAAAACTGACACTGGATTGGTTGTTCTTGATGACACCATCAGTGGCTGCAGGCTATGATATGCTGATATTTCTATAATAACTGAAGCTTCTCCATTCATGATAGAATAAAGACTCCCAGAGTTTCCAAGTCATGTCTTCCCTGAACTTTATAGCAGGATTTACTTCACCTGCACTTGCATTTCCCTGTTGGCCAATGTGGTTACCTCAATCGCATTTAATAGCCAATAAGGAGGTATGGGCCAGAATGTGACCATTCAATCTGCAGTAAATAAATCAAAACTGCAGACTGACCCAGTGAACTGCAGGCTATGATGTTCCTGAAGTACGCTGCAGCTCTGTGTGAGAGCAAAGGCCCTCTCTCTCTGCAGAGGTCTAAAGGTGGCCATACACTGTACAACCATCGCAAGACCTTTGTCTTGCGATGGTTGTAAAGGGATTAAAAAAAACGTACGATCTGCCCATCTTGGACGGGCAGATCGCACTCTCGATCATCGCAAGCCACGCCCCCGAGGGGCGGGCTTGCGATGACTGTAATGAGGGGCGGGCTTACGCTGACTGCAAACGGGCAGTACGGCCCGTTCGGCAGTTGTCGAACAGAAAGGACGGCCGTACGGGAGCAGCTCTACGATTCCCGGCGGGTTTTCAAACATGCTGGTTCGATGGAAGACGTGCGACCGTACAGTAGAAACGGTCCCATGCCTTCCATACACTGCACGATTCTTGTACGATTGCGGGATTTCCCGCGATTCTCGTACGAGAATCGTGCAGTGTATGGCCACCTTAACACACCCCTACAGTGTCATACCTACAGCTCTATAACAGCTACACTTGCTCATCTCAACATTTCTGTACACCTTGAGGAAGCTGAAGCTTAAAATGGGCTCTAAGACAAAATGATAGACCGCCATGTAGCATGAAGAGCCTGGATGTCTTTTGCTAATACAGCTTAATCATAAGTGCAACGTGTCAAGATGCTTCACACTACGGCACCATGATTTTCACCTAAAAAAGAATCTCTGAGCTTCAATGTTCCATGTGTGGTCCACTTTTCAGATTATCCAACTGGCGTTATTTAAGTAATTGAGCTCCCCAAGTTTTGGAACTCCCAGGGTAACCTTGGAAATAAATAGAATGCTGCATGCTGGCACCTGACAAGATCTGGTATAGGGTCCTCACAGTTTTCTCTTTCAGTTTAATACAAAACAGATTTCCAGTGGCTCTAAACACTCGGCAGAGTAATAGCAGTGTTAAGTGTGTGTGTGTGAGTGTACACAGTGTTGCCATTGTGACCAAATCCGCCTGTAGGACGGTATGCACTGATCAGGCCAGAGGCATCCCAGCAATGCTGAATCTCTGTATGAACTCACCTGACCTGACTTCATCTCACTGACAGCTACTACTAATTAAATAGAATTCATTGAAGGCTGATACGCCCGAGCACTGACAACTATTACGTTATCAAAGCCTATAAAAAGACAAGCCTCACGCCCCTGTTTTTGATACATTCTTGGTCTGGTGAATTGTTAAAGTAGAATTATGGGGAGAGTGAAACACATTCATTGTCATAATTAGAGCTGAGGCGTGACACTGAAGCTGTCACATGTCAGCTCTATTGATCAAGAATTGAGCGATCGCATACCGCCTATCACTCAGTTCCTGATCTTCTCCCTACAGATAGCGGTGACCGTCAGTGACCGCTCCCCGCAGGGATTCCCCCCTTCCCTCTCTCTATTCCTCCAGTGCTGACTGGAGGAACAGACGGGGAGGGGGTGGGCACAGCTGGCTCTGCCTCTAGGTGGGCACAGCTGGCTCTGTCACTCTCTCTACATATCTTGTGTGTTTGTGTATTTGGGTGCACACCCTAATGTAATAGGCTGTCCATGCCTATGTCAAGGACTCAGACTGATCAGACTGTGGAGTGTTGATAAATTTTTTAGGAAAGGACCAATAAGAACTCCACGGCCGTTGTAGTAATAGCTAATGAGGGCTAACATGTTACTTGCAGAGTCACTTTCAATTTCTACCTTTTATCAGATGATTATTTCCCTCTATTGCACAGTAAAGTTACTGGATATCAGATGTTTACTATACATTATAAATTGTTATGTTTTTTTGAGAGATGGCATAAACATTTATCAGTTAAATTGTGAAGGTCTACTAAATATACATTTTTCTTTTTAGAAATCATTTTTTAGGTCTTTTCAATGCATCAATACCCCCTTACCTTTTAGAGTTACTTGTTCTGTTGATAGGTGTATGGAGAATGTTCATTAGACGTCTCTACTGTCACTTGCTGTTGAGGATTGGGTTCCTGGAAGTAATTACACATTATTATTATAGTGCTGAAACTGCCTCTAAGGAAAACAGGATACATCCTTCTTCCAAGTGAGTTTTTTTTCAGAGGGATTATTTAAGGGGAAGCTACAGAGTAATATGAGAGGAAACATTTTACATTTACAGGTGACCCTTTTAAAGCCCCAGGCAAAATTACTGATTTTATGATCTCAATGACATGCCTCACATATAAGTGAACCTTACTCCTTACTCTTATAGCTGTAAGCATATCCTGTGTACATCTCCCAAATTCCTGAAATCATGGTAATAGTAAATTCTCATTGGGCAATCAAGGAGCAGCAGCACAATGCTGAGCTCATCCCTCTCCTCAACCCTCCTGTAAGCGTGTTCATTATTAGGTATGCTTGCATGGTATATAGTAATCATTTTTGCATATTTGTGTGCAAATCCAGTTTTAAAGAGACACAGTCACTCTGAACATTTAGGAACTCATCCCCAGTTATACTTACACTACCAGTGATCCCAGGTAGCTCCTGCCTCCATTGCAGCCCAAGTCGAATCCAATGTGTAGGGATAGTGATGATGTCATCACCTCTGTCATGTGACAGTGCTCAGGCCAAGTGATTGGCTACTAGAAATATGCACTGTTAATAGGAGGAGGACGTGTGCTCCACCTTCCTCGAAAGCACTGTGTTTTCTATCCAGCATCAGGGGCAGAAGCAGCGCAGGATCGTTTGCAATGTGAGTATACTTGAAAAACGGGCCCCTTTAAAAGTACAGGGTCACTTTCCCCTGAATTGGAAAAGTGACAGTGTCCCTATGGGTAATATTTGCCTGATAGTAGTTTTTGCATATGATATTCACAATGTTCCCTCTTTTCAATTACAAAAGCTTTTGATTGCATTTGTGCAATCACAAGGACGTGTGGTCTCTCATTACTGAATGGAAATAATGAAGGCCGTACAATCACTGTATCCCGAAAGGCTGGGCAAGGTAACAATCAAATAATAAAGGCTAAAATGAGCTAAGAAGCAACATGCGAGTAGATATAATGGGTGTCAACTCACGAAGGAAGAATCTATATACATGAGAACAAAAGGGTCATTTCTATAAATGCGATATATGTTGGATAGCCTAGATTTATTACCATAGTGTAACCAGGAGTCTCAAATGGAAAAAAAAACGTGGTCAAGCTATCTTCTACAGTTTGAGCAACACCATCAATTAGTCTATCTACTCCATTGATTATTTGTAAATGGATGTGCAGAGCAAAGCCAATTTGATGCAAATGCCCAATGTCCTGATCAGAATATCAAACTATATCGTGACTTCTATATGTTTATGACTGTATTTTATATGCACTGTATATATGTAGTTTTTCTGTCTATATCAAGGAGTGTGATGAGGTGAATAATTGCTGAGATAAAACCACGTGGCACAGATTCTAATATTTCCTCTAGAAATATAATAGTAAGGTATAAACACTGTACGACACTACTAAGCAGGGAGAACATTCTGCAGATATATCTTACCTCAAGTTAACAAATTAAATAACCACATGAAGTTTAAAAACATTACAAACATTTTCTTCATGTATTTGTTAGATTTACAAGGTTGCTTAAGCTGCCACCAGCCTTTTCAATTCGTACTCAGCACAGGAAGAAAAAAATGGCTGCTCTGAAGTTACCTTTAATGAAAACTGCATTTCAAAAGGCCTGTCTACTCCTGTAAAAGTCAACCTTGGCCTTACCCCCATCCTCCTTCTCAAGCAGTCAGTAAGGCAATCCATCATCTTAAAGGAGCAAAAGGGTAGTAGGAGGGGTGTGGCCAAGTTTGACTTTTTCTAAAAATGTTTTAAGCTGAAATGTGTGCTGGAAAAAAAAAATAACCCTGCACAAATGCTTGGGAGGAGGAGGAGATGGTATTACTTACTGTAACCCTCCACCCCCTCTGGTGCTCTCCTCCATGATGCTCCTGGCTGTGGGTGGTTCCCCAATGCCCTGCATTAGCTCTAAATTTTGTGAAGCGACTGCTGCAACACCAAGCGCGTTCCAGGAGCAGAGCAGTTACAGACTGAAGCAAAACGGCGTCCAATGTATTCCAATGGTATTTTTAGCTGCAGTTCACATCGCAGCGTTCCGTTCCAGAGCAGGTCCAGAGCAATTAAAAAAAAATGCAGCAGTCCCTATTTTACCTGCTCTGGAATGCATGCAAACGCATCAAAAACGCATGCAAACGCCCTGGAAGACCATTTTAAACTTAAAAAAATAAAAAATGTTTTTACCAAAAACGGCCCGGATCTGTTTTGTTTATTTCAGCACTTGGACATTAGTACTGACCTCCACAGAGACGGCAGCTGTTTGGACGTGTGTGTACTGCGGTATATAAGCTCCTTGCATAGCTGTTGTGGCAGGCATATACTAAAAGACAAAAGAAACATAAAATATTTAGAAGACAACAAAAAAACAAACCCAAAATTATGAGCTAGTAGCTTTCTCTCCATCATTTTTTAAATCACAGTTTCTTACTATAAGGATAAGATACTAAATTATGGGTATAGTGCAGTTCTTCCAGTGATAAATGTTATAGGGTATATTGTAGGGATGCACTGATACTGGTTTTCCGGTATCGAATACCTATATTTATTTATCGGTACTCACCAATCCCGAGTACCGATACCAGCACCCCGGGGCAGCCTGGCTTCCTTATTGGCTGGGAAACAGCTCCATGCTCCCCCGCGGCACTCCCGGTCAGAGGGAATATCCCTCAGTCTGGGAGTTCCAGTATCGGGATAACTATCAGAGCATTTGGCGAGTACGAGTACGTGCCCAAATGTTCAGTACTGGCACCGATATCAGTATCGGTGCATCCCTAGTATATTGGAAGTATCACACTTAAGGACGTCTCTCATCTTGTGTGTCTCAATACCGCTATCCACCACTAGCAGGTTGGGTTGTAGAAGGGAGAGCTATCATTCAGCACCTCAAAACTATACTCGATACCAATACACATTTTCCCAAAAGTAAGAAATGCAACATGAGCCCCAGACCATTAGACAATGAGTCGAAAAAAAAGCTTTAATTCCTTTAAACACCAATGTGTTTCAGGGGGTTTATAACACTCCCCAGTCTTCAGAGCTTAGATGATGTGGGAATCTGGAGTTGGAGGAAAGGCTGAAATTGATATTCCAATACATACTCAGAATCTGGTGTGTTACTAATTGCGCAGGCAGCATAGAACATGGTCCACTGTTGTCACCATCAGAAAACATTGCTCTGAGAAATGCCATGCATCCATCACTGGAGTGCATATATGTAGACAGAGGGTGGCTTCTTAGAGGCTGCTGAGGATCAGCAGCAATGAGATGCAACAAAGGATAAAAAAAAAGGGTGACAAGTATTTTAGTTTTTTTTATGATACATAGTGCTTCAGCAAACTAAATGCCATTCAGTTAGGATTTACAGCCACCTTAACTCAGGTCAGGCTGCCTGGTCTTCATACACGTGGTAAGCTTTAGCGTGAAATGTGGCTTTTGTGTGAAGCTGCAAGATAATGAGCTTCTATATTTATCAATACAGCTGTGATTCTTCTGGAGTATGGAATAGCAGGTCATTTCACATTTCTATGCAGAAGCACGAAAAACACTCTAAGGTTAGGTTTTATAGACCTGTGAATGAAGATATGACAGCTAAGGCACCAGTAAATTTATGTCCTGTGACGTAGGTATAATAACCATCCAGTCTGTGGTGTTCCGGGAAGATATGCAGCCACTTTTATGAGCCTTTCCTATCACTTCAGCTCTGCATTAGATATTAATATCATGTACCGACTGCAATTATATACTGGATGTCGTGCCAGCTACCTAATTGTGCCTGTATGCTTGTGTTACTGAATTGGGTTTGGTGGTAATTAGATGAGTCATAACTAACAGTGGGGGTTCCATTATATGCTTAGGTGTGGTATTAACACTGTGCCACTCCTTGCTTTTGTCAGTCTGATAAAGCTTAGCAACTGACAGCTCTTAAATGATCTGACCATTGAAACATCTCTCTTTGCCTGTGACCGTCACATTTACATTAACTCTCAAATCTTCCTTATGAGTGTGCATGTGTATGTCCCCCTGAGATGGTTTGTCAGTGCCATTCATATTCAACCCATTAAGTAGCGTGGATGAAGGAAATTTTATTTCCAGCTATTGTATTTAGGAAGCTGCAGTACTCGTGGCTGCTTCACTATCCAAACAGTGACTGCATCTGATAGGATAAAATTCCTGTTTGGCCAATAATTTTCCTCTCAGGTAAGCTGTTTTTTTTTAAATCAACTATTGTCGAGCTGGGTGGTGTTAGCAGGGCCACCCACCGCTTGAATTTCAGCCGATTCCTACTGAACTTCGAGCCATGTATGACCAGCCTAATATGCGTTTTCAGTCAGGTGAAGGAAAACAAGATGCCTGTGTGGCTATGTCTAGGGAAGGGGTGACCCACCCAGCCACCACTGACGTATAGAGAAATCTATTAAAATTGGACAAGGTTTTCCAATCTGTCCAATTACTATTTTGCTGGAGACCTGGTGCTGGAGTGTCTGCAAGTGCTCACTTGACAATGGACATACATATGACAACCACTAGAGCTGGTGTAGATGGGACAATGCAGCATGCTTTTAGGTGCATTCAGCTTTCATTTGTGTCCCATCATCTGGAACTCCCTACCACAACCTATCAGGCTATCTCCTAATCCATCTGCCTTTAGGCAATCCCAGAAAACTCCCCTCTTCAGGGAAGCCTATTCCATGTCTGTACATCTACTTCAATCAGCTCACCCCTCACAGTTATTACTTGCTGTATCTCTTGCCTTTCCTTATAGATTGTAAGCTGTACTGTCTCCCCATATGTTGTAAAGCGCTTCATAAACTGTGGGTGCTATCTAAATCCTGAATAATAATAACAATTTGTAATCAGTTTAGGATGCTTCTGAGATTCTTATGATTTCCATCTGAAGTGTTTTAGATCTCTTTCTAAATTGCTTCTGACTTGCTGCTAAGCTGCATTAGGATGCTTTAAGCATTTTTTTGTTCTTCTGATCAAATGATGTTTGATGCCAGGAATGTCCCTCATCTCAAGCCTTAGGTGTGCTAATCTATTTGTGTCAAAAGTCTTAAATTATTTTAGCCTAGCCCATAAGCCATAGTAAATGTGGGTACAAGGAATCTATGCTGTCTGCAGCTGCTCTAATATGGTAGTTTAAGAATAAAAAATATATATTTTTAAAAGACAAGGAATTTTTTTTATTCTCTGAATCCCAATGGGGGTCTTAATACTCCTCCTATAGTCTACATAAAGTAAATTAAAGAAGCCAAAAGCAAGCGTCATACCCCTTTAGTGTGGCAGAAGCAGGTGGGTAGGGATAGGAGAAGACAGCATTAAAGTAAGCCACAAGATGAGAGACTGAAATGGAGGCCGATCTGTGTCCAGGTACCAGGATTTACATAACTGTGCTATCTCTGAGCCATCATCTTAATTCTGTAAGTAGATGCTGACCTTTGATAACTCCTGAACAAAGTTGGTGCCATTCTCCTGATCATAAAAGCACATGGGGGTATTGTCAGGAACATTACTCTGATCTTTGAGAGGTAATAAATACCTGCAAGTGTTACATTACTTAGCATGCAGACACTTAACATGAAAAAATATATTTGATACTAAGTCCACTTCAAAGAAACTTGCTTGTTATAAAGCAACAGCTGAATAAATTATGAATCTGAGATGCAGCGTGGAGGGCGGGTCTCATTTTGGAACTTACGAGGAAATCAATCAGCTTTCCATTATCTGCTTTTCTGAATGTGCATTAGAAAGTCATAAAACATTCAGGTGCAGTGCAATTTCTTCTCTGATCGTCACTGAGCCAACAGTTATTTCCAGAAAAGATGAACTTCTTGTTATCTAAGTCCCACCAAAAATAAGCCCCCAATCCTCCCAAAGCACCAAGACTCGTCTGCGTTTTGTGATGGCTTACTTACTCCATACAGCACAGTGAAGTACCCCAGTGTAAATGAGCTTATTACACACAACTACAGCGTGTATTCATGCAATTACCTCTGACACAAAACAAAGCAATTCAGCTGTGAATTGTCACAATGAAGGGGCCACTTACTGTTCCACTGCTGCTTAATGACATATGACTCATCTGCTGGGTCATAGGGTTCATCATCGATGCAGGCTGTAGTGACATGGTATGGTCCATGGAGGGAGTTAAGACAGTTCCCTACAAGAAAAAAAAAATGGGCAAATTAAACCATTGTCCACTTCTACATATTTATCAAAGCACATTCAATAAAAATAAACTATTTATGGATTTAGAGGAAGTGTGTTTTAAATGACTGTTGTAAAAAGTCTCTAAAAACAAATTTGAATGACATTATCTTATTTACTTTATTATATGACATATATGGAATGGTAAGTGCACACTCTAGCGCAGAGGTAGCCAAACTTGGGCCTTCTAGCTATAGTTTAACTACAAATCCCATTACGTATCTGCCTGTGGAAGTCATGCCTGTGGCTGTCAGAGTCTTGCAATGCCTTATGGGACTTGTAGTTGCACAACAGCTGGAGGGCTGAAGTTTGGCTTCACCTGCACCTAGCATTTCTCTCTACAGAATGCTGCGCTATCAGCATACTTGCAAAATTAACACTTAACACATATGGTGTACTGTTGATACAGGATTCTGTGAACACTATGGGCCTCATGTATAAAACTTGTTCGTACAGCAGTCGTGTCCCTAGATCACTAAATAAGTTTTATACGTGAAGCCCTTTATGTTTTCAAGAGACCCACAGAGATGTTCCCTCCTTTCAGGCAAGTGGTCTCAGATTGGCACAATCACACAGAGGGATGGGGAGTGATGGACCTGATGTTTGGTATTGTAAAGAGAGAGCACAACAGAAGATGTTTCCTTTCAGACACTTTTTATCTGATTTAAATCTGGTTAAGAGAGAAGGGGAGGAGCCACTGCTCTGAGTCATTAATTTATTTACATGTAATCTTGAGCTACTGAGCTCTGTAAACAACATGTGTTTTGTAACAGATGGCAAGGAGATAACATGCAAAATATGGGAAAATGGAAGCTAAAGCTCTAACTGCTTGATGGATATATGAATACATAAAATCATATTCTATATTTTATATTTATCTGACAAAAAGAAAAAAGTATCATTAGAAGTTCTGTTTTCCTATTTTCAGCCCTGACTATATTAAAGAAATGAACTATATACATCACTTCCTGCATTCGGGGACCGAGAAGAGATCAAAGGGAGATTGTGTACTGAACTCCCTTTGATCTCCACTGACAGCGTCGCCGTGACGGTCCCAGCCGCACTGGGCACAGCGGATCTCAAGACCGTCAGCGAAAGTACGGGGCGCCCGATCGCTCCAAAATTACAAAACAGAGCACAGACATGTCTTAAGGTTACAGTCCCTTTAAAGCCGCATCCAGTGCTGTTTTTCTGTGTATTAATTGTATTCCATTTTGACAGCCAAGCCAAGAAATGTACTCAGGAATATCTTTTATATGACATCACCCTATGTACTGCTGCAGATGCCTGCAGAAAATTGTCTAGTAAGAAATATCAAAGCACTGGCAATTGAGGAGTTCTGAGAATTGTTGCAGTGCCTACGACATTGTGTAAACTTCTTGATATGCCAATTCCTTAATTTACATATATTACTTTTATTTTGTTATGTAAATAGTGTGAAATTATAAAAACATCCTGAAGTCTAATCTTTTACATCGTGAGCTCTCATGGGCAGGGTCCTCCTAACCATTGTAACTGTAATGTCTTCCTTGTATTGTGCTAATGTGCTAGCGTTCCAGGTGCGGGCGATTGCACTGTGGGCGGGGGGCGTGGCTGCAGTGCTATTGACTTCAATGCAACGCCAAGCTCCTGTACGCAGGGAGAGGACCGGCTTGCGCTCCAGTGCGTTCCAGAGGCCGAACACTCTGAAACGCAGACTTTGTGGTGTGAACTGGCCTTCTCTCTTGGCTGTCTCTTCTCTCTCTACCGTCTCTCTTCTCTCTCTGTGGTCTCTTCTCTCTCTGTGGTTGCTTCTCTCTCGGTGATCTCTTCTCTCTCTCTCTCTGCAGTCTCTTCTCTCTCTCTCTCTCTGCGGTCTCTTCTCTCTCTCTCTGCGGTATGTTCTCTCTCTCTCTGCGGTATGTTCTCTCTCTCTCTGCGGTATCTTTTCTCGGCTGTCTCTCTTCTCTCTGTCTCTGCTGTCTTTTCTCTCTGCTGTCTCTCTTCTCCCTCTCTCTGCTCTCTTCTGGCTGTCTTTTCTTACCTACACTGCAGCAGCTTCCCAAGTCTCCTCTCAGGTGCGTTGTCCTGTCCTCCCGCGGTGCTCATGGGGCCGAATGTGCAGACTGGGAGAGGTGTCCCGCCACTTCCCGTCTGCAGCGTCTGACGAATTCAGCCACACGAGCACCGCGGGAGGATAGGCCATAGGTCAGTGAGCCAATCGCGATCTACAAGTGTTCGCTTTGCGATCGACTGGTAGATCGCGATTGACCTAATGGGCACCCCTGCTGTATAATGATAATAATATGATCATCATTACAGAGACATTCCAGTTAACACAAAAACTTATTTACTGTGGAAAAAAGTTTACAGTGCATATAAACTCTAACAACTTCTCCTATTTGGTCCATTTTGGTCTGTAAAATATATAATTGAAAGTGTTTTGCTATATTGCTTTATTTATTCATTTAAAGTATGCCTGCTATGTCTGTTGATCTTTACAGAAATCTTGTGAGCTGATAACTTCCTATGTTCTCTGCACAGAAGGTTATCAATTATATTGTTCCTAGCAATCTCTGGGGACTATATATCTATGCTCCTCTATGTTATGGCCAATAGAAGAGACTTGGGGTTCTGTAGTGCTATCTTGTTTTTGTTGCCCTAATACAGATGGTTGTTTAAGTGTTGTTATCAAGGAAAAAAGGAAACTAATGCAGCCACCACATCTAAGAGCTAACAAGTTGCAATATATTACATTTTCTGTTTTAGGGTTAAATAAACTTTACGGGCATACTTATTACAATAAAAAGAAAATAAAGAATAACATAAGCTCTATTGTTAACAGTAAGGCTTTTTTTTTTCCGGAGAAACTGAAACATGGATTCTGATTGGTCACTATGGAAACTCAGCATGCTTTTATTCCCGTATTCTCTTTTCTACCTATTATTAACCACGTTACCATTTATTGGATCCCTATGGTTCTAAAAGTCATACACATTTGGAGGTGTTCAAAGCATGAGGATTTCTTTGAGGTCAATATCTGATAGCTGAGGAAGTCTGAATAAGAAACTGAATAATAACTCTACTTGCAGGAACAAAGCAAAGATGTGCATCCTGTACTTCGTGCGTCAGCCATACTGATGCAATGTTGGGGAAACCCAGATAAAAATAAATTTATATTCACATTCCCCCACCTCAAACATTAAGAGCAGCTGAACTTCTAGCAAATATGAAAAGAATAACACTATTTAATTTATTAAATGTAGTTTTAAATGCAGCTAATATAATTTTTGGAATGCAGCTTCATATTAGCTGCCTGTAATTTCATGTACAGCAGCACCTGTGCTGGGAAATGGAGGGTCAGCCACCTGAGCCATTTAGGGTTCTTTATCTGTGAAAACTGCTATCACCCTTGAAGTAAATCTAAAGCCAAAACTCTTTTTCTTTTGGATAGAGTAGGGCAGGTTTAAAACCAGTACATTTTTTGTGTCATGTCCCATTTGGGAGATTTTCCTTCACTTTTTGTGCTGGAAGTGAGGGAATTGCTCTTTTAGACAGCTTTCACTGGAAAAAGTGCCCCCATTTAAAGGAGAACTATGAGGTGAGTGCTTTTCACTCACCTCATAGTTCTAGCCGACCTGTGACAATGAGACTGTCACAGGTCGGCTCAGTAGATCGGGAGGTGAGCGAACACATACCGGGTTCGCTCGCCTCTCGATCCTGTCATGGCTCTCTGCCGTGACAGGGGGAGGGGCTGGATTCCCTTCTCCCCGCTCCGATCTGCCAGCGCTGACTGGCGGAACGGACGGGGAGGGGGCGGGTACAGCTGGCTCTGCCTCTAGATAGGCAGAGCCAGCTGTCACTCACGCAGTTGGGCGGATCCCGTCATCTAAGTCGGGATCCGCTCCGGCGTTTCAGTATACTGCGAGCTGTAGCTCGCGGTATACTGAGCTTAGGGTAACGGGAGGACGCTAGTTTGTGTCCTCCCGTTACCCTAAGGAGGACTATGGGGAAAAACACTGACCCCATAGTTCTCCTTTAATGATTTTCCCGACATTCTTCTTCTTTCTGTCCCAGTGACAATGGTCACCAGGGCAAAAAGAAAGAGTCAATCTCCCTAATGGGGATACATAGCAATTAAAACTAACAGAGGTTAAAAGAAGAACGCTGGAAAAATTAGAAACTTATCGTTGCTGTGGGGCTGCATCTGCAGTGCAAAGGTTAGGTGCTTGTTTTGTCTATGGAGCTCTATTAAACCTGTATTACTCACCTGATTCTTGGTCCTGCGGCAGTCAGTGCTCACCTCTCTCCGCCTCTGCTCCGGCTATGAAATGAGCATTGGCATCCTTATGCCTGATGACATCAGTGGTCAGACATGATGACGTTAGCGGTCCTTAGACCACCGTAGCCTGGGGAAAAGAGGCGGGAAGGACCAGTGAAATAGTCCGGAAGGAGACAGCGAGCCTGAGGATCGGGTCCCCTGATCCTCAATATGCTTTCAGTCCCCCTAGACAAAACGGGCAGTTACCCCTAGCAGCATGGGGGTAGTCTCACTGCAAAGGTAAGATTTTAATTTTCTCTGGAGGTCTTTTCTAAAGCCCTCCCCACTCTATCCAAGACTAAAAAACCCTTACCACCCTATGTAAAGTGAAAATAAATAAATATGCACTTTGACACTGTAAACATGCTTACAGGAGGGGAGAGAACAGGGGTGGCCTTATTGGTGTGCTGATGCTACTTCACTATCTCATCGGCAAGCTGCATTGTCAGATTAATTTGTTGTATATAATAAAAAATGCTATTTTTCCTCCAACTTCAGCTCTTCTTTAAATGAACCAAATCCTGCTGCATGTTACCGGCTGTTTTGTAAGATAATAAATTCTGTATAGCTCTTCTAACCGGAGACAAAAGAAATGTGTATCTCCTGATGTTGCATTCGTTTGATGAGGTTGTTACATGAAACATTCATGGGGCCTTTTCAAACATAAAGAACATGTGACAATTGGGAAACAGAGCCGTAGGCGCGTTGTGTTCTCAAAGACTTTCCTGCAAGAAGGAAATTGACGAAAGCACGGTTTGTGGTTACTGAGGCAAAGTGAAAGATACAGATACTTCGCTAGATAAAGAATATTGCTATCTTGATTTTTTTTTTTTTTTTTGGGGGGGAAATTATTTTACGAAC